CTTAGTCATGTCTCTTGACCAAGCAATGAGCTGGTGCCCTGACAGGTTGAAACAATTGCCAACTGCTGGTGTCACACTCAGATTGTCTCTCCTTGTGGTCTGGATGGCTGCCTTCTACCAACTGAGGAACCTGCAGCACTGCCTGAAGACTATGCAAATGATGACAATCTCTGTGCAGCAGTGGAATGGCTGCACATCTCGATCCAAGAACTTCAAGACCACAGTATCCCCCCTGAAGCACACAGAATGGAGGTTGATGAAATGCTCAGTTTTGTGGCAGAGGAGAACACAGCACAGGAGCTAACAGACAAGGAGATCATTGAGCTGGTGTAGGTACCAGAGGAGTCTGAGGCAGAAGAAGAAGAGGAAGAGGCACATGTTGAGCCAGTAATCAGCCATTGTCAAGCACTTGAGTCAGTCAGAGCATTGTCCCGCTACTTTTTGCAATGGGAAGAGCCAGAGTTTGCCCAAGCATACCGGTTGTGCCCACCCATGTTCCATGCCATCTGTCTCTCTGTTGTTGAGAACATGCTCCAGACATCCATCATGGACTTCTTGTAGATAGCAGACCTCCGGATGACCCCCTGTACCACATCTCCCTGCTTAGCCATCACCCCTCAATACTGATCACAATTCCCTTCCACCAACAACATCGTTAACCTCGAGGATTACTGTACCATTGGATGTGCCTGTCTGGTGCCTACTTGAACGCACGAAATGAGCCGGCATGTGATTTGGAAGCGTCTCACGTGCCCTGACGCGATGCGCTCATGTAACTCCGTGGACCCTTGCCAAGAGCGCGTTGGTCTGCATTCCAACTCGACGGTCTTAGAGCGACACGATCGACGCATTCCTCGTTCTCTCTACAATACAAGCTGAAGACAACCACAACAAACACGTTACGATCATGGCCGAACGTGATCTAAACGTGATCATAACGTGACCATGTCGCGACTCAGACGCGATCGTGAGCCGGAAGCAGGCTGGCATATATAACTCTGGGTGTTTACGCTCAACACGGCTCATTCGCCCCTTCCCCCCTCTTCCCTCATCCACCACCACCCTCCACCGAACTTCATATACTGGTAGCATAAAGATCCTAGTGTCGTCTGAGTACCATCAAACACATCTTCTTCTCCCTTCTTCCCTCCCCTCCCCCCTGCTCCTGGTCGGCTGCTATGTACGTCTTCTATATCTTCACCCTTCATCAAGCATGTCTATGACACAACTCACAGCAATGCCTGACACGCACCTCACTTACTTAAACGACTGTGTGTACTCTCTCTTTCCGTGTCGTACACGTTGTGATCACCCAACAGGTCGTCGATGGACACTGCACTTCTACTCACATTCCAAGGTGCGCACAGTGATCAATATTATATTGATGCCCTCTGATATGTTCTTCAGTCCCCAGACATGAACCGAACTCACCTCTCTCGCGACTATAACTACTGCATGTATGTTCACCGTACTACATCAGACTGTCACTTGGCCTCGTCACCATCGGCATTTAGGTTCTTTCAGAAGTACTTATCCTTGCTCAAGATTCCCTATAACCAGTGCGTCACTTCCTTCTCTCTTTGATTCTATCTCACACTGAATACGACCAGATTGTATTCACCGCAAACAATCAGCGCTGGCCGTCCCTAGCCACTCCTCCGCACCCTATCCTCTCACAAGAGCTTCTCAAGTGTGACAGGCCGAATGTCGCCAAGGAGATCTGCCTTTTGTGTATGTATTCTATGTCTTCATCCCTCATCGGCATGACTATGACACCCATTCACAGAGCCACACGACCCCTGTCGATCTGC